TATATGTGTGTGTATATATGTGTGTGTGTGTGTGTGTGTGTGTGTGTGTGTGTGTGTGTATATATATATATATATATAGAGAGAGAGAGAGAGAGAGAGACTTGGTTAATTATCTACTAATCTAAGTGGGAACTAGACAGAGAAATGCATGAAGTGAAATCCTATTGGGTCATGTTGATAAACTTCAGCTTGAGGATGTGACCACGGACAGCATTCAGTATTTGTGTACTTTGAGATTCTTAAGGGTCTGAACACTGGCCGGATTGGCTGCTTCCCTGAGACCTGGTGCCCAGGAGGCCTCGGGGAACAGCCCCTTCATTTCTGTGCGTCTCTGTCCCATTTCTGCTCCCTGGCATCATTTACTTGGTCTAGTCTTTTTTAAAATGTGTTTTTATTACTGATTTCAGAGAGAGGAAGGGAGAGGGAGAGAGCGAAACATCAATGATGAGAGAGAATCACTGACCAGCTGCCCCCTACACGTCACCCCCCCACACACACACACACTGAGGATCAAGCCTGTAACCTAGCCTGTGCCCTGACCAGGAATCGAACCGCGACCTCCTGGTTCATGGGTCGACGCTGAACCACTGAGCCACACCGGCTGGGCTACTTGGTTTAGTCTTTTTAATGTTCTCCTTTCTATAGTTTAATCTGTCATTGCAATCTGTGTAGAATAAAGGCAGAGCTTCAGTGTGTGCGCATCTAAATTGGACTAGAACAGTCTTTCTACATTTCTACCTCTTTACTGTTGGTTATGGGAAAGCCACTGGTTCTGAAGTTTTAACAGGTTGCGGACCGGTAGTTTCATTGCTAGCTTTACCCAGTGGCCGGATAAGTCTCTATTGAACGAGGTCAAAAAACGTTTTACATAAATGTTAAAGGCACGCTTTACAATTAAATACCCGTTGCATTTTGAAATTATGTATGATGTGCTCTTACAAGCTAATATCTTTTTAAAGTATGATATTTTGTAAAATACTGTGTACTATGGAACGAGAATTCTCATGATCCGTCCGCAATGTTTAATATCGATATTTAGTAATATTATGCCAACACCACCACAGGCTTTCCGGAGGAGAGCAGGTTACCATTTACCTGCAGAAATAACCACTGGGCTTTCCTTTGCTCCACTTCTGACCCCTGGTGATGTGAGAGGACCGGGTCTCATTCCACGTGAGGCGGGGAGGGTGCTTCTTTCTGTAGGCAGGGACCCCCCAAAATGCATCTGGGCATTTGAGAGCCATGCAGATTTTCAATGGCTGGTTAGACAATCTTATCATTTGCTAATGAGGATAGTTCTCTCTCTGTCTTTACAGTTTTTTTTTAAAAATGTCCTTTCCTTTCGATGTTGTCTAGGGTGACAAATTTTGTACAGTGTGGAAAAGCACAGATGCCAGTGAGCAGAAACGGTTGCTTCTAGTTTTATTGGGAAAGCTGCTCGCGATTCGCCTTCAGTTATGATGCACAGGTTTCTGGAAACTGCGCCTTATCGCCGTCTCTAATAATTAAAGATGTTCAGCTGCCTCAAATGACTTCTGTGAATCTACTGAGAAACTCAAATGCAGTTTCATCTTTAATTTGTGGGTATCAGGAATTACATGCATACATTTCCTTAGGGTGAACTTTTCTTGATATTCTTATTCCCTTTTGGGTCTACTCACTTTCTTAGGCAACTATGCGATCATGTCCTACTTTTTCCGTGCATTTGCCAATTTCTTTTTCCTTCTAACACCTGTTATATCTTTTGCTGTGTTGTTACATGCAAACCTTCTTAGTAGAGTGTACCTTCAGTTAGCACCTCGGTGTTTGCACCAGTTAATATTTTTTATTACATGCTATTTGTTGAATAGCTTGTCACAGCTGTTTCCATGATCAGAAGACATTTGTATCACAGTGTTATTTTGAACATTTCTGTCTCGTGTTGTTGTTCCGTGAATCAAGTATAAAAATGGATTTTGATTTTTTGCTTTTACTTGGTTTTACTTTTATTCACATCAAAGTGTTTGCTGTCCGTTCTGGTCGGTCGGGACGCCCCGAAGGCCACTGTCTGCCCCGGCTCGGTCTTGTGTGTACTTGGCCGCCCGTGCCCTTGGGTGGTACGGCCTGGATTCCTCTCCTCGTGCGTCCACTTGCGTGGGGCAAACATGAGGCTCCCCCCGTGCCTCCCTAGTTTGGGCAAAATCTATGTTCCTTTTACCGAAAGCCACAGCTTGGGACAGGTGGTGCCTCTCTCTGGTGTCTCCAGCCCTCACCAAGTTCCAGCGACTTCGTCCCCTGGCCCCGTTGGCCCTGAGGGCGGTAACACTGCCCCTGCTGCTAGACCCGGTGTCCACCATCCCTGCGGGGTCCCCTAACCCTGCCCTCATGGAAACGTGCAGATGATGCTAACGAGGAATTTAAGGGATATGAAGTAGGCACGAATCAAGGCTCTCTGGGTGCTATTTGGACCCATACATATACCTAAAATTGGAACAAAACAAAACAAAAAAAATCAGAGTTCCTGGAGGAAAATCCCCCTGTGATCTTGTCCTATTTGCTCACTAACTGGCCGCGATCAATGACCAGGTGTAAGTAATGGAAATGCATTTTTCTGTTGACAGATTTGTGAAGGAAGGGATCGAGGAATGGAGCCGCCAGCATTTTTCCAGCTGGGTGGTGTCTCACCCAGGACAAGTGGTGCTCACCGTGGTAAGTCAGCGCTGCACCCATCTTCAAGGAGGGCCTGGGGGCCACACCGCCAGGGAAGCACAGAGGTGGGGATGAGCCATCAGGCAGGGCACACGTGTACGTCACTGGCGCTGAAATGCATCTGGAAAGAAGATATACAGATGGATGGACAGATGGACAGATAGGTGATAAAGCAAACACCCGCACAGCAAACGGTTAACTGTAGAACGCAGCTGGTGGGCGTTTGGAATTCATCTTATAATCCCTTTAAGTTTTCCGGTTTAAACTTTTCACAGTAAAATCTTTTTTAAATATATTTTTTATTGATTTCAGAGAGAGAGGGAGAGGGAGAGAGAAAGAAACATCAGTGATGAGAGAGAATCCTTGATTGGCTGCCTCCTGCACGCCCCCTGCTGGGGATCGAGCCCACAACCCAGGCATGTGCCCTTGACTGGAATCGAACCTGGGACCCTTCAGTCTGCAGGCTGATGCTCTATCCACTGAACCAAACCAGCCAGGGCTCATAGTAAAATCTTGAATAAAAATAGGCCCTGCATTATCTTCCTAGGGACACCACGCTCTTGTACTGCCTCCGTTTTCTACCGCTGTCATTAAAAAGTCACTGCAAACTTAGTTGCTTAAAACAACACCCTTCATTATCTGACAGTTTTAGAGGGTCAGCACGTCTCCCTGGGCTCCGATCGGGGTGTCAGCAGGGCTGCGGTCCTCTCTGGAGGCCCAGGGGAGCCCCACTTCTTGTCGTTTCCAGCTTTGGGGCCACCTGCCTTCCTGCCTGGGGCCCCGGCCTTCATGTTCAAGGCTAGCGATGCTGCATCTCTCTGACCATTCTTCTGTAGTCCCATCTCCCTCCGCCAACAGGCAGATAAAGGTCTCCAGTTTTAAGGATACATGGATGGCATTGGATCCACTCGAGTAACTTACCGGCCTCTTCACATATCCCCCGCCATTAACTTCCGGGTCAATCTGACATTAACCTAGTAGCCGCCGTAAAATAGCTCTAGTGTGTATGGGAAGAGTCAGTGATTACAGACGACGTGTGATAGAAATAGTACTTCTGAGTTCAACTGAGGAAACGCCAACTAGTTTCACTTGGAAGGTTGCTGTCGTTATTACTTAACCTAGTGGTTAAGGATACATTTAGAAAGTATAAATATTGGTGATAAGTATACTTCCATTTATTAATGACTAAGTCCCCCCTCACACACACACAAGCGTTAAAACTCAATCTTTAACTCTCAAATACATACAAAGGAGTAAGCTCTCCCTTTTACACACATGCAAAAGCACTCATACATACACACACACACCACCCATAGACGTCGTGAACACATTTGTTTTAATTTATAGAATTGATGCTTCCATTACCATGTTGACATTTTACCTTTTCAGAGCCAGATCATATTTTACAACGATTGCACCAAAAGTTTCGTGAGTTCTGATCCGAGAGAAGGGCTGGAAAAGGCCCACGCGGATCTGATACAGCACTTAGAGCAGATCGCAGAGCTGGTGGTGCTGGACACGAGCAACGCGCGGACGAAAGTGGTCCTGGGGGCATTGATCACCCTCTACGTTCACTGCAAAGACATAGTGAGCGATTTACTGCTTAAAAATATCTTCAACGCCGAGGATTTCGAGTGGACAAGGTAGGTAGATCTCAACTGGAACTCTACATGAAATCATTTCTCACATGCACACCGCTTCTCACATACATACAAAGGAGTAAGCTCTCTTTTATTCACATGCAAATGCACTCATACATACACGCCACACATAGATGCGAACACATTTGCTTTAATCTGTAGAATTGATGCTTCCATTACCATGTTGACATTTTACCTTTTCAGAGCCAGATCATATTTTACAACGATTGCACCAAAAGTTTCGTGAGTTCTGATCCAAGAGAAGGGCTGGAAAAAGCCCACGCGGATCTGATACAGCACTTAGAGCAGATCGCAGAGCTGGTGGTGCTGGACACGAGCAACGCGCGGACGAAAGTGGTCCTGGGGGCATTGATCACCCTCTACGTTCACTGCAAAGACATAGTGAGCGATTTACTGCTTAAAAATATCTTCAACGCCGAGGATTTCGAGTGGACAAGGTAGGTAGATCTCAACTGGAACTCTACATGAAATCATTTCTCACATGCACACCGCTTGGTAAATTAACTCTGTACCCCAAACTTTGTCAGACCTGAATTTGAATTTTCTGGAAGAATCCATATTGCTAAAATGTCCATACTACCCACAGCAATCTATAAATTCAATTCAATCCCTATCAAAATTCCAATGGTATTTTTCACAGAACTAAAAACAAACACACACATGGCAGAAATCCTGAAATTTGTATGGAACCACAAAAGACCACCAGTAGCCAAACCCGTTTTAAGAAAAAAGCACAAAGTTGGAGGCATCACAGTTCCTGATTTCAAACTACATTACAAAGCTGTCGTAATCAGAACAGTATGCTATTGGCATAAAAACAGACACATGGATCAATGGGACAGAATAAAGAGTCCAGAAATAAACCTACACACACGGACAATCTACAACAAAAGAGCCAATAATATGTCATGGAAAAAAGATAGTCTCTTCAATAAATGGTGTTGGGAAAACGGAAAGGCCATATGCAAAGAATGAAACGGACCACTGTCTTATAAACAAGAATTAATGCAAAATGAACGAAAGACTTGAATGGAAGACTTGAAACCATAAAATCCCCAGAAGAGAACATGGGTGGTAAGCTTCTTGACATCAGCCTTGGTGATCTGACTCCAAAAGCAACGGCAAATATATTGTTATTGATGTCAGAGCGGAAGGGAGAGGGAGAGAGACACATCAATGATGAGAGGGAATCATTGATCGGCTGCCTCCTGCACGCCCCACACTGAGGCTTGAACCTGCAACCTGGGCAGGTGCCCTGACCAGGAATCGAACCATGACCTCCTGGTTCATAGGTTGACGCTCAACCACTGAGCCACGCCAGCCGGGCAAAATACAATTTTTAAAAATAATTAGGACAAATGGCATTTCTTTCAACTACATTCACATAAGGATGTCATTGACAATTAACAATGTCTTGAACCACATTCTCATTTGAAACCATAATAAGCTTCATAGGGCTGATACTTCTATAAATCCTCCGTTTATCTGATGTCACACCAGGCAGCATGATGCAGCAGGGCCATTTTTCCTCCAGGGACGAACACTCATGTGTATAGTCTTCTGAGTTCGCATTTCAGTGGCTGATACAGTCATTATGAATTTTCCGTCGCTTTTCATTTGTTTTACTGTTTTGATTTCTGTTTTCAACCAATATTTTATTTTTCATCTTTATTATGTTTCCGCATTTGAAAACACACATACACACACACACTAAAAGCAATTTTGTCCCGATAACGTGAGCTTTGAAAATATTGTTTTCAGACATCTGCAGTATAAATGGAACGAAAAACAGATGTTGTGCTACGTCTCCCAAGGCGATGCCAGGTTCACCTACGGTTACGAGTACTTGGGCTGCACGCCGAGGCTGGTCATCACGCCTCTCACCAACAGATGCTGGCTGGCTCTCACCGGGGCGCTGCACCTGAACATGGGGGGCTGCCCCTCGGGCCCGAACGGCACGGGAAAAACGGAGAGTGTCAAAGATCTGGCCAAAGTAAGTGGTTCTGCATCCAGAATAGCACCTTCCTTTGAGTCCTAAACTTGAACGGCACCGGACGTGGACACCATCTCTGTGAAGAGGTTCTTCACCGTTGAACGAGCCCATTCGGCCGTTCAGACCACGCACCGGTTCATTTCCGAGCGGCTGTTCTGTGTGGGGAGCTGGGAGCTCACTAAGTCCACGTGGGACATGCGAATGGTGGTTGTATTCCCTTCCTGTAGGGGCGATCCATTCATTTTGAGCCCGTACACAGATTTTTGCCTGGTCTTGGTGATTAATGGGTGTGTGTGTGTGTGTGTGTGTGTGTGTGAGAGAGAGAGAGAGAGAGAGAGAGAGAGAGAGAGAGAGAGAGAGAGAGGCACAAGAGACAGAAGCACCTGATAAAGCCGGTTATGTCACTGGAATGCTGTTTCCTTAGTTTATATTTGTTGGTGTGTTTAAAAAATGACCTTAATGCTCCACCTGCTAATCGAACTGTAATGGCATATGAGCATTTCTGCTCAGTTCAGTTTTGTGAGTTTTAAAATTTGGTGTGTAACTCACCTTTAATCGCAAAAGTTTTCGCAAAAGAAGACATTCATTACTCCGGCAGTTTTAACCTTAGTTATTTTGTGTCATCGTTTAAGAACTATATTAAAATAATATTTTTGTTTCGCAGTCCTTAGGTAAACACTGTGTGGTCTTCAACTGCTTTGAGGATCTGGATTATAAGGTAAACCTTATATACTCAGGTAAAAATATTATGCAAATGAAAGAAATAATTCCTTGGGGATTGAAAGAACAAGAAAAATGTCTTAGAGATGTATTAAGTATTAATAGAACTATATATGCTATTAATAATTTAAACTAATAGAATAGAAACTTAGAATGCAATATAAACTTAAAACATTATACAGTTTGCCTTTATTCAGCTGAACTACTTCTTAAGATTGTGTTTTTCAAACTTTTTGATGGAGATATTTCCAAACAAAATCTAATATGGAATATAAATATAAATATAACAAATTAAGAGTACTGATCTACTCATATAAATTTCTTTTATGTGTTCTAATCCTATACATTAACTTACTGAAAAGGTAAATCATTAAGAACAATGAGGCAATTCTAATGAACATAAAACTTTGAATCAGAGTTTATATGGATGACTACAACTTTCTATCAGCCCGTTTGTTTTGCTTGCACATTATCTAAGACATATCTCAGAACCTGGGATATTTATTAAAAGTTTACGTGCCTGTCGCAAATTTACTCGAATCTGTAAAACATTTTATCGCGGTATGTCAAGTCCCAGCCTTTTACGTTTGTTTGATTGCTGTCATTTATTTGCAGTTCAAAGCACGTCACCTCTGAGATCCTGCATTTCCAATCTGTGCTCACTCAGCTTATTAAAAAAAAAAATCAGTAAATAAGCTGATTGAGTGATTATTGAGACTCGTACCAAGTAGAGTGCACCTTCTACTGGGGCCCAGAGGACTAGGGGGGGTGAGCTGCTGAGCAAACCTTAAGGGGGAGCCAAGAAATTCAGTAATCAAGATAAATAATAGTTTAATGCAGTCGTTTTAAGAATGAAAATTAATATCCAACACCCGCCCCCATGATAAACCAGGTATCAGGCATTTAAAGACAGTTCTGATTCCTACAGTGGGAGGAGGGGAGCGACTTCGGTATCCTGGGCCTGAGCCGCTCCCTCGGGCTCCCTCATCCCCTCTTCCCCCCTCACCCCCTCTCCCTCCGTCTCTCTAACACCTGGCAGAAGCTCCCCAAGGGCCCCAGATGCTGTTTGGTCTGACCGTGGTTCTGTCTTGTCTTGTTTAGCTGCCGGAACTTACAGATCAATAGATGTCGATCCCAGAACACCGGCCATCTGGCCGCCCTGGGTTGGCGCCATCACAGGTGGCACAGCTGAGTGGCAGCGGGCGCTTTAGCTGGGCCCTTCCACTCTGGCCTGTTCACTGACCCCCCTCACCCAGCAGCAGCCCACCCTTAGCCCTGAGTCTTGTCCTAACCGAGGAAAAGGAGCCCCTTCCTTCAGGCACTCGGCCACCGTCTGCAGGAAAACTGTCCCAAAGACCTTACAGAGGAGCAGGGCTCTGTCTGGAACAGTGATGGCGAACCTATGACACGCGTGTCACAGGTGACACACGAACTCATTTTTTTTTGGTTGATTTTTCTTTGTTCAATGGCATTTAAATATATAAAATAAATATCAAAAATATAAGTCTTTGTTTTACTATGGTTGCAAAGATCAAAAAATTTCTATATGTGACACGACACCAGAGTTAAGTTAGGGTTTTTTAAAATGCTGACACGCCGAGCTCAAAAGGTTCGCCATCACTGATCTGGAACGAGGCCCTGGGAGCCCGGGCTGTGCAGTGAGGGCCGCCGTGGCCCCGCCTCGAGGGTCCCGGTCAGCATCAGAGTTGGCTACTGTGTGTTTAGGCTTCAGAGACGGGGCAGTTGACTTGCCCAACAGTTGGCAGACTTAGACTTCACACAAAAAGCCTGCATCGGGGAGGACTTGCAGATGGTGTTTGCTTGGTTTGCGTGAATGGGAAGAAGATGCAAAAATGAATATCCTCGCCCTGACTGGTTTGGCTCAGTGGATAGAGCATCGGCCTGCAGACTGAAGGGTCCCAGGTTCGATTCCGATCAAGGGCATGTACCTTGGTTGCGGGCACATCCCCAGCAGGGGGTGTGCAGGAGGCAGCTGATCGATGTTTCTCTCTCATCAATGTTTCTAACTCTCTATCCTTCTCCCTTCCTCTCTGTAAAAAATCAATAAAATATATTTTTAAAAAAATGAATATCCTAGTGAAAATGTTCACCTGTGTAGTAATTGTCAATAATCTTTTTTTTTTTTTAAGATAATGGGAAGATTCTTCTTCGGACTAGTTCAGTCAGGAGCGTGGTTTTGTTTCGATGAATTCAATCAGATTGATGTGGAAATCCATTCCGTGATTGCCTCCCTGATCCAAACAATTAAGGCGGCTAAAGATAGCTACTCCGTCAGGTACCTGCCCCGTGGACTGCAAGCACGGTCCACGCTTACTGCTACTATTGTGAAGTGTTTTCTTCCACAGAAAGTGTTGGGTGTGGGCGGGCCACTTACCCACCATGTGTCTTTTGCTTGGCAGATAACGTGAAAAAGTATTGGAGTGGAAATTTTCTCAGCGCCTTTTCATCTTATCACAGTGGTTCTCAATCTTCTGGCCCTTTAAGTACAGTTCCTCATGTGGTGACCCAACCATAAAATTATTTTCGTTGCTACTTCATCACTGTCATGTTGCTACTGTTATGAATCGTCATGTAAATATCTGATATGCGGGATGGTCTTAGGCGACCCCTGTGAAAGGGTCATTTGAGCGCCAAAGGGGTCGCAACGCTGTCTTACCATGTTTCATTTGAAGAAACCCAAGTGTTTTTTTTTCCCTCTGTAATTCTACATCTTTTTACAAAGCCAATTCTGCTGGCCACACACCCAAGCCCCCTCTTACTCCGTGACTCTGGGTTAATATACTTGAATGGAAAAGTCCTGTAACAATGATATCTGTATGTTAGATTGCTGATGCTTCCTAATCCAAACAAAAATGGTTTCCTCTCCAGGTACATTCAGGAACTTGCATGATTCCCTTGGTGGGCACAGCTGGGTGTGGGTTTAAAACTCCTCTGACAATCTAACATTTCTCACGCAAGCTAGGGGACATCCGCTTCCAACTTGACTTTCCAGGGCTTCATCCAAACTGCTAGAGCCACTGTCACGCGGCCCCACACGTCTGTGGATAGAAGTGGGGGTCACGGTGACCCACATTGCACCCCTTCCTTGCCACAGCCCAGCCTCGCCCGGTCTTCCTCAGCTGTGTCCAGGGAGTCCTCGGGCTTTGTCCCCCTGGGGTCCCCTTCCCTGTCGTGACCACCTCGTTGGTATCGGCTGTTCATGAAATCACCAGATGATTTCTCTCCATGTCTCCACTGTAGTACCCGCGACAGGACGCTCCTGTCTGCCTCAGTGACCCCAAAGTTACTAAATTGGGCAGCAGGGGGCGGGCTGTGCTCCCCACTAACACAGGAACTCAATGCCATGGCCACTCTGGGGTCCACAGTGCCCTCTGGGCGGAGCTCTGGGGCCCAGGGTCTCCCCAGGTTCTTTTCCCTGTAACTCAGTTCAGTCATGTTGGTACCTTCCCGCCGCAGGCCCCCCGCAACTCCTCAGACAGCGTCCGACGTGAGCAAAGAAGTCGGGGTCCCAGCGGGGCTCACAGTTGTGGCTTCAGACGAGCCTCTCAGTTCTCCTCTGACCATTGTTTCTTCCCAGGAGGCTCTGTTTGGGTTTTAATGGAACAGCCCGAGGAAGTTCCAAGCTCAGGTTTTAGGGTTTTTTGGTTTTTGTTTTGTTCGTTTTTTTATGTTTGTTCGTGTGGGTTTTTTTTTTTATTGATTTCAGAGAGGAAGGGAGCGGGAGAGAGAGAAGCATCAATGATGAGAGAGAATCATCAATTGGCTGCCTCTTGCACGCCCCCTACTGGGGATGGAGCCTGCAGAAATCGAACCCAGGACCCTTCAGTCCTCAGGCTGATGCTCTATCCACTGAGCAAAAGCGGCTTAGGACTATTTGTTTTTTTAATATATTTTTATTGATTTCAGAGAGGAAGGGAGAGAGAGATAGAAACATCCATGATGAAAGGGAATCATGGATCGGCTGCCTCCCACACGCCCCCCACTGGGGATCGAGCCTGTAACCAAGGTACGTGCCCTTGACAGGAATCGAACTGCGACCTCCTGGTTCATAGGTCGGTGCTCGACCCCCGAGCCACGCCGGCCGGGCACAGTTGTGGTCTTCACATACTTGGGCCTAGAGCTCTCTTCGTGATGCCTCCTGTCATGTCCTGTAGGTTTGAACTGGAAGGAAAGAAGATTCGTATCAACCTGTCGTGTGCAGTGTTTATCACCGTGAATTACGGGTAAGCGTCAGCGCATGTGTCGCCGGCGTGGGCCCACCTCCTGAGGTCTAGCCCTCGGGGGAGTGGTCCGGCACCGCGTAGCTGCCATTCCAGGGTGCTTCCCAGCAATGGCGTTTCCCCTCCACGGGCAGCCAGGTGGCGAGGAAAGGGTCGGCAGTGTGTTGCAAAGCTGGGGAGAGGAGCAGAAGGAACGAGAAGGCAGGGTGGAGGCCGCAGGGTCGGTCAGTCTCTGCTCCTGGAAGGTGATGGTGATGGTGCGGGTGAACCGTGGGAGGAGGCCCAGGGAGACACGAGCATAAACGAGGAAGCTCTGTGAGATGGAAAGTCGGACAGGAACTACCTCCTAAGCTTGTTCTCCGATAAAGATCAAATAGATCGCCAGTGGGATTCTTGGGGGGAAGTTACATCATGTGGCGACGCGTGTGGAAACCCGAAAAGGGGTGTTTCGTGCCCTTGTTTCTCTTGCCCTCTCAGGAACAAGGGTCACGTGGGTCTCCCCAATACCTTAAAGTCCCTCTTCCGCCCGGTGGCCATGGTGGTGCCCCACTACGAAATGATCGCCGAGATCAGCCTGTTGGCGGTCGGCTTCCAGTCTGCAAAGTCGCTGTCCAGGAAGCTGGTGAACCTGTACGGACTGGCCAGCACGCAGCTCTCCCAGCAGGTAACGCATGCACGTTTTCCTCGCGGGACGGTGATGATGCAACGCTTGTCTGGGGGGGGGGGGGGTTGGGACCTGGGGAAGGGGCGGCGCTAGAATTCCCGTCGGCACCTCGAGTCCGCGCCCCAGCAGGGATGGGAGGCGGTGTGTCAGGTCGGCCAAGGTTCCAGACCTTCCCTCCCAGATCTGGGGAGAGTGACTGAGTGTCTGCTATTTTATTTCATTTCATTTCATTTATTATTTTTAAATTTTATTTATTTTTATTTTGTTATTTTATTTTTAATTTTGTTTATTTTTAT